AAACTGTTAGCATCTTGGTGAGAGACAAACTCGACCGACACTCTATTCCTGCCGAGTCGCTTCACTCCTCCAATTTTGATATTATTTATCTTTGTCAAGAACATACCGAATTTAATTGGATGGAGAGTAGTGCCAGTCGTCTCGGAGTCCTTAAGAGAGACATGAATGATATAAGGGGGGTTGTCCTTAGCCGTATAGCACTGCCTACCATTGATATTTTTTGCTAGCTTCGGAGGGTTGACGCGGGAGATAATGGGGGAGCCTGCAGGTCGTTTTCTATTAAGATTGGATTCGGAATCCATTAAGTCATTTTCCTGGTTGTCGTAGGGAAGGAAAGCACATAAGACGGGATTATAATCCGACTTGTCGGGAGGATCGGGGGGCTTCTCCTCGTCCATTGTTAAAAAATTAGAAAAGGTGGGATGAGAGAACAAGTGTTAAAACAAAGAGTACACAATACCTTATTAAAACTTACACACACAATTTAACAACACACAAAACGTTTCAATTTAGTTCACTATGAATTAAGATCACTAAAATTGACAACAATCGTAGCACCGATAAAAGCACATGCGTAACCTTCACCACTACCAACGAAAACATTCGTGATATTTATTAGGTGATATAAATAAAATACATAAATTGATTTAAAAGTATGTTTTTAAATAACTGTCACTGTCTCTTAAATGTCCTATCCCTGGCATTAAATTTAAAGTCCTACTGGAGCTAGTGGAAGGACATGGCTCTTCATCATCGAGAAAACTCTCGTCCAAGTCGCTCTCATCGATGGAGGTGTCGCTGTTGTCACTGGCGTAAATAATGAACTGTTCAGTGACTGTCTACGATATGGTCACTTTTGACGTACTCCGCTTCTGTTTTTTTTTACTTTTTGGCACAACTTGGCCCATTCCTCGGCGCCCATTCGTGCCACTTTCTCCTTAATTAGGTCCATTACATGGGACACATTCCATTTTATATTTTTACGGGCTACGTAGCCTTTGATTGCCGCCCATGCCATTTCTATTGGTTTTAGGTCCGGGTGGTAGGGCGGCAATCGCACAACACTATGATCGTGTTCTGCCAGTATTTGGTCGATGCAAAAATTTTTGTATTTATTTTTGTGTCATTTTATCAATTGGTACAATTGGGGTTTAAGCATGCTTTCTTCAAAAGCTATGCCCTTTTCTGACAACCACCTTTGCATGTCGGCTTTCTTGGCATTCGAAGTAGGGGCTGGATCGAACTGCTTATTATAGTACGATGCGTTGTCAATAATTAACACTGAATTTTACTACTAAGTTCATTGATTTAAAATGGGCTACACATTTCTTATGTGCCAACAGCGTCTTAAAATCTTTATCTTTGTTATTGTTCAAAAAGCCTTCGAGATTTTGTAGTTGATCAAAACACTTGCTGTCATCGATTTTGTCGTTGTTTTGTGATAGGATACTAATAGTATCAGAAACTTGATTCCATTCAGGAACATCATTTAAAGACATCCATGTGAAATGTTTTCTGTCTTTATATAAATTATCAGTCCAACTTTTTAAATATTGCACTGCAATAACGTACATGTTTTTAATGTCCTTTTTGAACGCAGTTACCTGTTCAGAATTTTCATTGTTTTCATTGAATTTACGTAAAATGGAAGGTCACTTTTAGTTGATAAAACTCTTGTTCAATTCTTGCATTTATGCTATTCATTATCTCAGAACAGTGTTCCAAAACCTCATTTACAGATACATCAGCCTTTGTATCTTTGATGCGGTTTTGATAAATAGCCATGAAAGAGTGCACAGCCCACGAATAGCCTTCGTTTATAATTGAATTTTCAAAAAATTCTCTCTATTTTCTGGGTGCATTATTTTTTAGGAAATATGACCGAAGCGGTTCAAACATTTGTAAAATTCTTTCTATCGCTGGGAAAAGACTCAGCTAGCGCGTCTTTGAATGATAAAGCATCTGTTTGAAATGATTGTCTAATTCTGAACTTATACTTTTGAGCTATTCTGTACGCACGGTAAATGTAGCAAAATGGTTGTGAATCTGCATAACAATACTTTCAAGAGATAACGGCAAGGAAACAAGAGCGCTGTGGACAGAATTATTAAAAATATGTTGAACACAGCCGACGCCAATAATATTCTGATTATTTGTTAAAGATTTTATTGTAAAGAAAACATTATTTTGTCCTCCTCTGTCTCTGCCACCAAAATTTGTAGCAGCATTATCTGCCGAAAATTCCACTAATTTGTCTGAAAGGTTTTTCTCACGTAGTGAATCAAAGACGTAGTTGGATATTCTTTCGGATGTTTCATTTTGTTGTGATTAAATATCTATCAAGGCATCCTGAATTCCGTCTTTCTGATAGTCAAAGTACTGAATTAAGAGCGGAAATAATTTTATTGCACCGTGATTGCTTGCGTCAATTGAAGCGCAACTTATGTATTTTATATCTAACAAGGCCTTTAATATATTTTTTAATACATATGGCGCAAGAAAATGTTTCAAAGTTGCAGTGTTTTACTGTGTTTAAATGCTTTTCGAGATCATATTTTCCTTTACTAGCTATTGATATTAACTGGTCGCAAAGCTCACATTTCACTTCTGACGGTTCTGCTGTTGAACTGACCAAATGCAGTCGCGCGTTATTCCTCGTCCCCCGGCCCGCGGTGGTGAGTCGTGTTCTTAGAAGAAATCGGCCTATAAGCGCTCTAGTGGTTATATACTCTTTGGCGCGAACGAACGACCGACGACGGTCTACTCGTATCTTTGCATCGCTCCAGCCATGTTCGGTGTTTCGTTTCACTCGTTTGCGATTGTAAAAAGAAAAGCCGGACAGGCCGGACACTGTTTATTTTGGCCGGACTAACAATCAAAAAGCCTACCTATGTCCTGCTTTATCCGGACGCCTGGCAACGCTACTCTCAGACGATTTTGCCTAAAATGCATTTATTTAGTGTGTGTGTGAGAGATATGTACATTATTGTTTATTAAATAGCCCAAACTTTCACTGTGCTATCAGTCTCACTTTGTCCAGAAGGATTATATTCGAAAATGTAAATTATATTTATTTAATAAAATAAAACAAGCAAACATCAGAATCACGTTTTATTTTCCCATTTAAAAAACATTCAAGTTTTATGATTTTGATTTTTTAATTTTCGATGTAAGAAAGCATGTACCTTAGCTTGCGATGGGTGAAGCTATCGTGTGGCCAGTTAAATGATAATGGAACATTAAAGACTCCTTCAAACATTCTCAAAAATTACAGTAAATGATTTACTTATTACTGGCAATACTGGCTTAAAAATAACTTTGGCAACACTGTTTTATATGCCTGTCGCACTCACATTTAATGCTTATGAATAATATACTGTAAAAATTCCATAAGATGACTATTTCATTTAGTTGGCAGTAGAATAGAATATTGATAATGTAAGATGAATCAATGAATGAATGAAGGAGCCAACTAAAACATATTTTGTGCAACAAGACAACAATTCTGTCTACTTTAAAACATTCAGGACACACAAACAATTATTAATTATGGACACCGAAAATTTAAAGACGAATATTCTCCCGTCGCCCTAACGGCAGAGATCGGAATACTGGTAGGTAACTTATAATCCTACTCTAACGGCAAAATGATTACATGTATTTAGTTATAATAATAGATAACAAGCTTATGTACTAAAGCTTAAAGAACGTTACATAAAACAATATAAATATTCATTTTAATATGAAAATACTTTAACATTTATTCAAATATCAGTGATTACTAAATTAATTAGGCAATGAAATTGCACAGTTTATTATAATTTGCGCTAGATGGCGACACTTTGTCGGCCTATTTAACTACAATTCGTTTATACGACACCCAAGTTACAGATCACGACAATTAATTAATTTTTAATTACCTTGTAATTAGTATTCACTGCATCGAGAATTTTTATTCATATAGGAATAATGTCGTCTTGGCGATAAGCTTTTCATATTTATTTTTAACTAATCTGATGCATTAAAAATATAAGTAATATACGCGTGATTTGGCTATAAAATAAACTTAAAAATAAATTAAAGTAAATATACGCAAAAGCTGACTAGATGTTGAGATCAAAAAATATTAATTCAATAGATACAAATATTTTGTTTTTTAAATTATTGTCGTTACAAAACAGACTTAAAGGCTTTCTGATGTTCTGATATGTCCCCTGCATTTATTCCAAACGGAAATTGATGAATAAGAATAAATAATAGAAAACATATTATTAGTTGTAACACATCATGAATGAGGTGACTTTTATGTAGATAATGTACAAATATCACTGTATTAATATAATCTATGCAATAAACAAGTTATATAATATATAAACACCTATTTTGTTTTGGCAGAGGGAATGTTCGCCTGTCATTTATTTTCTGTTCATAAACAATTTGGGGGCACAGTACTGTTTTTTTTCTCTAGGAGGCGCTACTGGCACATTGCAATAGAGGTTCATAGACAAGGCAATTTATCTCGTTCCATTTTTAAACATATTTTAAAATATCATTCGGTGTTATTGTGTTTTGTACCGCCCTCTATTGACAAAGCCCCCTTTTAAACATTGTATTTGTAATAAAAGGTTCTCTTAAATTTTATTAGTTACAAATAATTTATTTATGTATTAAATACATACGTATATACTTAGTACTAGATACAGTTAATCCCACATCCAAGATTTTATTGTAGTTTATAAGAATGATTTGGGAAGTGTTAAATAGGGAATGTTTTTTTTTTAATGTTATATTCATTCCGTCGTTGGCAACTATCAAATATGTCATAATTTTTTAAACCTACTAGGTATCTATCTACATTTTGATTTTTTATCAGAATACTATGGATACTGACTTTAAGATTTTGTGATGCGATTAACTGTATCATGTATGTACTTATAAAATCAGTGTATAACGAAGTTAAGGCCAAGAAACAAGATAATTGTTCAATTTTGATCTTTAAAGTTTACTATAAGTATGTATAATACGATTTTCTTTCAAAGTTGTCAAAGGAAAATTAATTTTAATAACAATGAAATAAAGTAAGTTTTTGGTTAAACTGTAGCGATCTTATTCCTGGCCTTATTTTAGTTAATTTCTAGTCAGTAGAGACGCATCTCTTGTCTTCTAACGCCAGAATGAGGGCGCACTCAATCTTGGAGTGCAACCAGGTCAGTACCTCCGGATCTGTTACCTCTATCACCTTTTCATCCGTTGAGAAATAGTTTACAAGCTCGTCCTGTAAATTATAAAGAATAATAATTATTTACTTACAAAATCATTAATATGAGCCCCTAGCTTGGATTGAAACTAGTCGAGCTTCACGTCAAATAGGTACTATACATAAACAGTTAAAAATAAAAGTTAAAGATATAAAAAAAATCTGCTTAAAGAAGATTAAGTTCTTCTATCACGTTAGATGAAAAAATAATACAATGAAAAAGTCACTGCTGACTCTAAGTAACGACGTTACAGTCAGGATCTGAACTGTCCTATAAAAGTTGTTTAGTTCATGTTATTGCCTCACAGAAAACCGGCGTGAAACAACGACAAAGGCCCAATCCTTCCCCTACCCCAATCCCTTCCCAGTCCCAAAATCCACAAAATCCCAATCCTTCCCCTACCCCAATCCCTTCCCAGTCACAAAATCCCCAAAATCCCAATCCTTAAAAGGTCGGCAACGCACTCGTAACTCCTTCTTTGTTGCGGGTGTCCATGGGCGACGCCGATTGCTTACCATCAGGTAATACCGTCTGCTCGTTTGCCGTCGTATCACATAAAAAAAATGGTCGCTTAATCTCTTAAGAAAGTAGGATTTTGTTTCAAAAATCAATAGCAAATAGTGTTGGTAAGCGTATAATTCAACAACGCCTGGACGGATTAGAATTAACAAAGAAGTGTAGAGAAATAAATACCCCTTAACATCGTTAGCAAGGTTGGACAAACTAATCCCAGGAACTACTGGTTCGATTTAGATAAATTATTTTTGTATTACATTTATTGTAAAGTTATTATAAAACATCTCGTGTACCGATCATTAAAAGCTGAACTGAGCTTAAAGCCGATGAAGTAAATACAAACCTGTTTAATATTAAGTAGCAGTTTATCTCCTTGCACTATCGGGGAGCCGATGACGTCATCCAGCTTCACTGCCCACTCCACGTGCCAGGAGCCGCTGGTACCACTCGCCCGGACCATAAATATGTGCCTAGGGAAATAACAACCCCAAGGTTATTTATGCTAATAATTCAAAGGACATTAAAGGAAGATACCTATAGTATCTAAATCGCGTTGTGATTAAAATCAACACAACATAATGAACCGACAAATGTCTAGGTAGGGACTTTTTTATTTTAAAACACAATTCGCTAATGTCCACCTTGTCTAATTCAATACTTCATTGGCATGTCAAAAACGTTTTCTATTAATTTTGTACGAATGCGGAACGAATGACATCTTAATGTTTTAACGTCTAATAGCATTCATTTATTTCAAAAATTACCTGGAAAATTTCTAAAATTAAGTTCCAATAAATACCAATCAATATAATCATACTTTTATAAATCAAACCCTAGGAAATTACTCATTTTATAGAATGAGGCTTAAATGTCCGAAAAAGAAATTTCAATATATCGCAAGTATACTTTCCTAAACTGAAATCCATCCCATGACCTCTTGCACGACAGTCAAGCTTCCGACTACTTGATCAACAATGAAAAAGCATGACATAAAGTCGATTAACAAATAATACTAACTGCGTAGATATCAGTAGCGTGCAATTGGATGTTGGTCCTAGGTGCGCGTGCGCAATGTACGCGTCCGTGTCCGCGTAGTGACCACGCCCTAGCAGAGTCAGTAGCTGAAGCCCCAGTGCAGCGTGCTGAGAGAACGGCCGGACTCCCTGGTACACAATAATAAAAAACAAATGAACAATAATACAATTAGGTACTGAAATGAAAAAAATAAGTTATTTAATGAAATTACTTTTATTTTTATTTATGTAGTTTAATATTTAAGTGTGAAAGAGCCATGCTTCGACATCGAATGTGTCTGCTCTACAGCCACGTGCGTTTCGCCGTGCCATTGAGGTTAATGGAGACCCAATTCTTCCCCTTCGTCAATCCCTCCCCAATCTCAGAATCTCCAAAACCCTAATCCCTAAAAGAAAGGCAACGTACTCATAACTCCTCCTTTGTTGCCGGTGGCACTGATTGCTTACCATCCGGTAATCCGTCTGCTCCCTATGCTGCTGCCCGTATAACCTACTCGTAAAAAGAAACTCAGTTTTCACATAAACTTTTTGACAGACAAGTCCAAAAATCTTACTTCAATAGGATCACAGTGTCGTGGTAATCGACGTCGCGCCAGTAACCGTCCGCCGCTTCGTTCCACACATGCCTTCAGCGCACTCTCGGCGCTGCTGACGTTCAGCTGGCGAGATAGTGATGCACGGGCTGCTTCCCTACACACGTCTGAGAATAAAAATAAAACATAAAAATTATTAAACGGTCAAAATTTAACTAAATTGGATTAGCAATTGGAGGCCTGTATCCTACAATTATTTAACGAAGGTTGTCATGATTTGTCATCGTTCACTAGGTGTTTTAAGAATAGATTACCTATTATCTAAAAATCTAGGGAACCAAGTCACCTGACTATGTAGGTCAAGTCTCAATCCTTGGGTGCAAAAAACAGGGCTCGAACTGACAGGACTATTTTCGCTAGTGGTGCCACCTACTGAATGCAAAATTTTAAATTGATAGTGTCAAAATTATTATTTTGGTGATTATCTCCTTGAATTCCTTACTCGGAAGGTGGGAACTGCTACTAGGGATAATTACCAACGCATACTTATTTCTAGTCATAATATTACCCACTATCCAATATCAAAAACGAGTGATTTAACTAAAGTGCAGTTTGAATTAGGTAGTTTACTCTCATTTCTGGTGTGGTGGTCCATTGTAAGGTTTTCATTTCTGTCTAAAGAGAATGGTCCCTTTCAAAACCTACCTACTTACCTACATAGGTACAAGTGCAAATAAGATTGTAATTAAACTTAATCACGTTTTACTGATTCGAGACCAGGGTCAGTTGTTTTCGCGGAGTTTAACTAATCACCAGGAACCAATTATACCTACTCCAAAGTAAACACGACCAAATGATCAGTGGTGAAGATTAGTGAAGGTATCACCTCTCCTTCTTGCAAATATTTAAATATTCTAATGACCACTGTAACAACCAACCCTGGTATCTATCTTCCGTATGTATAATGTAGGTACTTAATCTAAGAGAGTAACCAAGCCATGCGTAATAAAACTCTAATTAAAAGTTTTACATACTGATGAACATGCACTAAGATACTCACTCCTCACAACGACACAGTCGTCATCTGTACGCAGAACAGAACAAACGAGAAACAATATATTAACAATTAGTTACTATACAACATAGAGAATAATACATATCCAGTCAAAAATATGAGTATATAGATAGATATGTAGATAAAGGTGGAAATACATTACGGTGTCGCACGACCAAAACACGACACGACATGCAAGTACCTATGTATGTTTCTAAACGTGATTCAGAATAGGTTAAATAGTAATAGGTTTTGTACCGTAGTCAGATAAATAATAAATGTATTGAAAATAACTACTTCGTGATTGAACTCAACTAGTTTCAAGCCACAACGGGATTCTTATTCATAAGCACCGTGCGCAGCGCGGCGTGCGTCGACGCGCAGCCGTTCACGTAAGTTGTTATTATAAATAAATTTAGTTTCAAAAATAATAAATGTTGGCAACTTTATCTTTGACATGATGTAATTCCACCTTGATAGATAGTTTATGAGATTTATCAGGTACTTTGTGAATAAACGACATTGAATAGATGAAAAACATCAAAACGTCAATACATATAAAAGTAATTTTTGAAATCACAATCATGCTTGTAGTCTAGTTAATCTACTAAGTACTTAAAAATATCACGAATAAATTGATTGAACAGATTTATCACACAAATTCCATGCTCATAATAAAAATGTACTTTGAAAGATTTATTGACGGTAAAAATTGATTCCAGTTAAAGTTTACATTATAGTTCTGCCAAAGTTAAATTGATTGCGAGAGAATCAATTTTTACACAAAAATACGAAAAAAAACTATCATATATCGTATATGAAACATTTCATAAAAATTTATGGTCGAAAAAAAATTCACAATTTAGAAAATTTACTAAAATTTACCAAATGTTGGTCTAGCGACGAGAGCTGTCAGAGCAAGAGCGATGCTGGCTTGATTACTGCTGTCTCCTTCTATCACACTTTCCGGGATGTCATTACTGAGTTGAGGTACTTCACCTAGATAGAAAATAATACGAAAATAAATTAATCAATTGAACTTGGGCTGTTTTGTATGCAGCTGTACTTAGTTGTCTCTAGAACGATGCCATATAGACTTAATGTAAAATATAACAGTGTCATGAAGTACTCATGTGCTCATAGGCATGAGCGGAGGAGAGCGCGTCAATCCACTAGATGGTAATAGAACTAAGCTCAGAGTGTCTGTGCGACAGAGTACGAAATGTGAGATTTCGCCTAAGAAATAAAACCACCGACACCAACACAGCTCATATAATCTGCAAACTGCAGTGACAATATGCCACACTGCTCAAAAGACTGATGGACAACGGTCCAGAAATGGACTAATAAAATTTACCTGGTTTCCTTCTCGGCGTTTGTGGTTTGGGAAGGTCATCGAACATGGCACTGGTCCTCGTAGTGGGGCTCGCTCGCAACCCCAGTAGGGCTGCTGCTCCATCCTCCAGTCGAGAGGCCACATCCATGATCTTACGGCCCAGGGCGGTACCCTGAATAGGAACAAGTACAAAGTAAAAATATTCAGGTGTTCAAAGGCAGCGATTATTACTTGACTTCGGATAGATCGGATAGAGATATACTCTTTAGACCCTCTAACCCATAAATATAAATCTTAAATCTTACCATGCAGGGTTCATAATACTGTTTGAGTCCTCTAGAGAAGTCTCCAATATGACTGTACGGGTTCCCCAGGATATTGAGCCCGAGAACCAACACGTAAAACTGCTGCACCAACTGTGTCCAGTAGTGGTGGGAGGCTTGCTCCACCAGCGTCGACGTCGTGATAGGAGCATTTCGGAACTCCAGGTATGACATTCTGAAATAAAGTCGCATTAAGTGGAAAAAGGTAATCAATATAATAGCTAGGAAAGAGACTACCTTCGATATAAGGGAAAGAAAAATGAAAAGCTATTGAACCCCATATGTAAACGATGCAGAAAATAAGAATGATTCAGCATGACACAGTATTGCCTAACAACGTGTTAAAGTTTTCATGTGATGATAACTAAAATACCCACAGAACAAAACAAATAGAGTTTATTTTGTTTGTACAACATTCATACGTTACGCAAAAAAAATGTTAAGAACATACTTTGCGGTGAATTAGATTGTGGTTTAGTATCGGAAGTAAAATGGCTATGAACCCTAACACAAAACAAATCTATACGTCATTAGTACACTAGTACAGTGTATAAAGCGATGAATAACAAACAATTTCCACTTACTTTATAACCACGTCTTTCATGTCACACAATGACGATCCCCAGGAATTGAACAAATATTCCAAAAGATCACTATTAAACAGCTTAGGCCTATTCTCCTTCTTGTTTCCGAATCTAGTCTTGCTGGGACTGTTGGCTGACTCCGCAGAATATCCTCGAGATGACAAGCTCAACACCAACTTCACAGGTGACAGGTGGACGTACTCAAAGAAGACGTTTTTCTGCGCGTTAATTTGGCTCTTCAGTGCCATCACGGGCAATGGCATGTGAACTAAGGCAAGGTCAGCTCGTAACCTCACGGCTGGCTTCTCCTGAATCTTCCAGTGGTTCAGGATATCAAACACATAGTTCACAAAACCACGATCCAAATTCACAGAGTACTCTTGAATTAAGATCTTCACGTATTTGTACACGTCCTGGTTCAAACTGGGTCTGTGTTGCTTGAGAGCAACTATTTCTATGCAGGGCTTCAAACCTTTACTCGTTCTTATGTCGTTAGGTATCGGTGCAGGGTACAATACGCTCGGGAACACAGCTTCATGAAGTTGGTTGTCAATCTGTAACCTCTGACATTTTAGGTGGCAATACGTGTAAGTTTCAGATTTACGTAACTGCAGCCATAAAGCAGGGTTGTACGTTCTACGGAGCTCAGAGAAGAATGGCTTAGTCATCTGCATTTTCTCCAAATCCAAATGGATATACTCTTTTAGCTGACATTTCTTTTGGTCCGTCTGATACTTGTCTTCGATCCAGGATGTCAGGTCAGGGGACAGCTGCTTCCACTTGTGGTTAACGTTGACTTCCCACCGAGGTAACGAGTCGGTCATGCTGACATACGCCAATTCCTTGACTCCTGTATGAGTTGGCACACAAACTGACAGACTGACTCCCGACAAGGACATGTAAACCTCGTAGTTACTTCTTTCTGCGTTGATGCGCATCCTGTACTGATACGCTATTCGTTCATCCTGAGCTAATGCGAATACTCTTTGATATCCATCCATGTACGAAATCCAGTAGACTACGACCTTGTCTTTCCTCATTTTCTTGGTTTTAGTGTGTGCTTCAGGAAGGTCTGAGCTGTCGGAATCATCACTGCTCGATGAGCAGGGTTCAGGTGACTTTGGAGTCAGCCTCTTGAGGGTTGAAGATAGTTTGGAAGTGACGCTGTTCGTCGCTACCAGGGTTGAGTGCTTGACTGAATGGAAACTCACTTTCTCTTCGCCATAGCTATAAAAGAGATTTAGAAATAAATGAAAACATGTAACAACTAATAAATTCCAGATGTTATTGTCAACTGTTAATTACCCGTCCTGATTAAAAGCAGCATCGAATCCTTTGCCCTTGTTGTTATAAATATTCCACATCAGTTTCCTTTCTTTTGCAGGATCATCCCAAGTATAAAGCATGGACTGATAGGGGCTCAGAAGAGCTACCTGGCCTGAGTCAACCTGGTGCAGCTTGAGGAAGAGATCATCACATAAATTGTCAATGCGAACAGGCGAATCCCCAGGAGTGTAGGGTTTGAAGGTGATGGTGAAGGGACGGTCGGTACCGCCAGTGACTTCCACACAAATTGCTGTCTGTAAATAAAAAATGAGAATATAGTAGGTATTTATTACAAAATTATTATTTTTATGTAATCGGTCACACGCAGACATATAGGTGACTTAAATATATACAGTAGGTACATATGTAGAACAAAGGGCCAAGCACGTAACATGAAATTCAACTAGTTGACACTATCGGAGCTAAGAAATCATCAACAACAAACATTTACACAACCCACATACCTAAAAAACAGACGCCCACATGTAACACTCTACTTCCAAATACAAAAGAAAATTGACCATTTAAACATTTCACGTATCCGCATAATAGTACAATGTTCGTAATTTATAACATAAACATGAAAGCCATGACGTAACAGTTACATCAGACGGACAGCGCAGGCGCGGCTGGGACGCGACACTAACTCAATTAGCACCACTTTCATCTCAACTTTTATAAGAGTCACTTACAGCTACACTTTCCCTCAGTTTTCAGTAGACTACAGTGATACAATGTTCAAAGTTGTGTTGTTTGTAACGTTTTCTGTGTTGTGTGTGGTTCAAAGCCAAAGTGACGATGGATGTAGACACTCAAGATCGTATACAAGAGTTAAACGAGGGAAATACTTTCCCAGCGGTCCACCACTGAGGTTTTACAACCGACCCCCCATAAGCTTTCCCATAAAGGGACCGTTCTCCTATACGCCACCCCCCTTCATGCAGGACGATGAACCTCCATACCCCGGCAGCCGACCCTACAAGGTTAGTAAACGTCCCACTAACGATGGTTTAGGGGACGATGATATAAATAACCTAGTTAAAAACTTGTCTAAACAAGACTTAGACAAAATAATCGAATTTGCTTATGAAAAAGATAAACATTCTGATAGAAACAAAGACATGGAGTATGAATACAACCGACCACATAAGAGGGAAAATTCTCATAAACCACCGCCGTATGCCAAAGATTATTATAATACCAAATATTCTCAAGAAAAACCATTCGAAATGGATTTCAAGAAATACGTAACGTATGTGACTGAAGCAACTCCTGTTAAGTATATGTCACAAGACGACATAAGAAGTTCATACCATGTAGATATAGAACCGAATCAAGTAAGTTTCCATGGGTCACAGGACGACACGCCCCCACCGAGCAAAGTGTACAGTGCGCAAGACGATGAACAGACACGATTCAAAGAACTTAGACCAGACGTTAGCACACAAACTAAATTTGGACCTCAGTTCGACCGCCCAAGTTTCACTCCACAAAGCGCCACCTTTCCCTTTAAAACATATGGGCCACAAGAAGATATGATTCCAACATCTAATGTTGATGGTGTCCAAAAATTTGAAAGCCTACCACCAACGCCTTACCCAAGTCCAACACCTTCAGATTTTTCTGAAACGACTGAAGAAGAAACATTGCCTCCTCCAATTAATATGAGAGAAGTAGACTTTGATGTGTCTTACACAAATAATGTGCCTACAGTTGTGAAGGCAGATTCCACTTCTTACGAAGTGGAGAATTTCGGTGACTTGCCGTTGATGAATTACAATTCTAAATTGCATTCAGTCAGTTCATATCATGTGCCGCATTACACTGTGAGTATTTGGGAGTTTTTCTAAAAACTTTGGGTGAATTAACACATCTATGATAAGTAGACAAGGAATTTTAACATGGAGACGTTATACGAGATTATAGAAAAACCGATTGCTAAAAACTATCAATATAATTAGTGTCGAATTAAAGAGAAGTAAGAAATTCATCAAAAAAAACATAAAAAATCCTGCATTTTACCACGTTTCATACGGAAACAATAAAAGACATCAAATATTTTTTTGTTTAAAAAACGCACATCTCTGAAATTATAATGGATATTTCATTACAAATTTTAAGTTAATTTTTTGTGTATAACAACAAATAATCCTAATAACATCATTAATCCAGAAAACACGTAAATCTTGGGTCCTATATTTATCTCACAACCACGTCATATTGTTTCAGATAACGCAGTCAAAATCGCAGTCACTCCCATCGCCACCCTCATCATCCTACTCGTCATCACAGTCATACTCTTCATCATCTACTGGTCTGAAACCATCTCCTGCTGCAGCATCCATCAAGGCTCCTCCAGTAGAACCTGCTCCTCCGCCATCAGTAGCCAAGGAGCAAAGTGATGCTCATCTGAAGGCTATCAAGATATGGTCCCACAAATCAAAGGGAGCTGCTTACACGCTTCATGACGATGGTACTTTGACTCCAGAGTGGCCTCGCCCGAAATACGGCAAATAATTTAGTTGATAAAACGTAGAAATATAATTAATTTATTATATAGCTCTGTTATTTTATTTTGTTTCTGAACTTTACGATAGTAGAAACAACAAAATCAAAAAACGAAAGAAGTAAAATTAAAAAAATAAGCACCTAAAGCTGCTCTACAATCTATTCAATTCGTTTCAATGTATTCGTAACTCAGTTTAAAAGACATCGAAACCCGTTCAAAGGCCTTTGTAAAGTTTATAAAATACATATCAACTCACCCCTTTATCCATTCTCAACACTGTAAAATGGTTCTTGGTGATAGGAAAGTGTTGGGAGACCACAGTCGAGTCCCGGTACTTGCAGTGCATGGACATGGAGTCCGTCTGTGGCCAAAACGGAGTACATTGCTGGGGAGCCAGGTCGTTCCAGAGATCTGCTGCTTCATTCTCCTCCATGAAACGCAAATGCCGCTTGGTATCGTTGTAGACTAAGAAATATGGCAGAAGCGTTACAATTTTCGTCAGCTGCGGACATAGTTCTGATAGGGTTACCTGTGGAATGGAAGAAAAGTAAAGTCACTCTTTATGATTTATATTGTTACAAACCGATTCTTCCGAAAGTCAAGAGGATAGGTACTAACGTTAAGCAGGAGACGATAGTTGGTGCGTCTCTCGGTATGAGGACACACGACCAGCCCTGGAGCTGCTGCAGCCAGGCGCGCAGCTCTCGACCAGGCGGAATGGTGTGCACGGAACCGCACCCGCGCCCCTCGCCGATGCCCTCGAGTCCCAGGACTCCAAAGCAGTGGCTCCTCCGTCACCTCGTAACACGTGTCTGATTGACCTCCCTGACAGACACATCCCAATTTAAAACCAGTACACACCTAAAATGTTCAAATATTATCATTACGCTATTTCAAACACAATTATTGAAAACTTCCACCATTTTTAAAGTTTGTAAGTTTCACCATCTAAATCGTAGTCAACGTATTTAAACTAGGTATATTCACAAAAAAAATCCTTGATATAACCACACTTCTAGGTAAAAAAACTCAGTTTCAGAGAGACACGTCTAGCAGATAATTCCCGTTCTTTGAGAATAAAACCGGTTACCATTACCGTTGTACCGGAGGCCCAATCCTTCCCCGCCCCCAATCCCTCCTCAATCCCTAAATCTCCAAATCCCTAATCCCTAAAAGGTCGGCAACGCACTCGTAAATCCTCCGTTGCGGGTGTCAATGGGCGGCGCTGATTGCTTACCATCAGGTAATCCGTCTGCTCGTTTGCCGACCAATTACAAAAAATAATAAAAAAAAAACATAAAATAAAAAAAAACTTATGGAATAGTAATGGAGGTGTACCTTCATCTGCAGCGGCAGACCAGTCTTGTTGATGAGCCAGTGCTGCGCGTGCAGGAACAGCTCCCAGCAGTCGCGGCGCGCCACGCGCACGCACAGCGCCACCTGCTGCCGCCCGCCCTCCGCCTCGCTCTCACTGCTCAGCGTCACCGTCTTCTCCGTCACGTCTAGGTATTCACAAAACATTTCATAACGTCTGAGTTTGAAATGAATATTCATTTGGGCCGTTCAAATTCATAATTCTGGATTTTGAATTATATGAAGATTTACTCGAAATTGCACTTTCATGTTGTTGGTAAGTGTTTAGCGCTATTTGCTCACTATCAAGACTTCCGTATACTTAAGTGCCCACTTTTTTAAATCATGAAATTTTTTCATGGTTTCTTTCGCCATAGGTGGGGTAAGAGTGAATGTTAGACTCTTACAGACTGAAACCACCCCATTCCTCCTACTTCGAGCTAAGCCACACCCAAATCGATGGGAGGGTGGGGTGCGATGACATAGTGAAATAGATTAAAAACAGTTGTAAATATGAAGAACTGACCAGGCGACAGCGTGAAGCTGCCTGTCCACATGGTCCCCATGTAGTGCATGGCGAGCTGCAGACGGTGCGGCTGCGGCAGCGCCAGCGTGTAGCAGTGCGCGCGCTCGCCGGCCTCGATGCGCATGCGCAGCGCCGCGCCCTCGCACCGCACCTCCGTCGCGTACGGCAGCCGGTTGTACACCGCCAGCGGGGGCACCACGCGCACCAAGTAGTTCGGGATAGCTCGCGTGATCTTTGACGATTGACAACCTGACCGGATGCAAGATGTCAAGGTTAAGAACTTCCCACGTTCAATTAATGAAGAATGAGTACTATTTCAATAATGTGCAAGAAATAATGAGAAACAAATATATAATTCAAACTTACCCTCAACAGGCAGGATCCTCATGGCAAATATTCTCTTGTCTTCTCCGTCTTTGGCAGGACATATCATGTCCCGCGGCGTGCCCACTTCATTCGCCAGTTCCATCCACCAGATACCTTGCGTAGCTGTTTGGTAGCTCCTGGGATGATGAAAATAAAACGAGTAGTAGTATATAATTTGCAAAGAATAGAAATATCTACAAAATTCAGTTGTTAATGCAGTCACTTTCAAGTTCATGGTCTCTTCTGATCCTGATATAGAAGAAGCCCCATACTACAACTTTTTAAAAGCTCTGAAGTTTATTATTTTCTTAACTTACTCGAAATTAGAAGGCAGCAAGAACAGCTTGCAGTGGTAGGCGATATACAGCGGGACGTTGTAAGTCTCCTGCGGTGCGATGACTGCCAGCCTCATTTTGTCATCAAATGGATTCGTCAGAGAACCTATCAGTTCAGCTCCAATAGCTTGCAGATCTGTCTTCTTGTAGAATAGCTCGAGAGCGTATGATGTTTCGTTACGGATCTAAAAAGAATAAGGAACCGAGAGTGAGCTGAGCTGTGTTAAGAATTATAAAGATATTGCATCTGTTTAATTTCCTAGCAAACCTTAGTAGGTAATATTGCGCCGTCGTAAAATGACTTGGAAATGAAATGAAAGAGAATGACAATATGAGGCTGAAGAGCGTTTTGCCGTTGAGTCAATAACGAAATATCTGAGAAAAATCAACATAGCTGATATGAATACTGAATACAGACCTGATAAGGAGATCGGACGACGATCGTCTTGTTGTTATACTTGGAGGTCCTCTCCACTGCGATGTAGTACCGCGTCGAGTTTTTGCTTGGGTGCAGCACGTGCAGCTTCGACACATTGCGTTGGGGACACAGGATCTGAAGAGAAATGGCAGTCTTTATTGATGTTGGGCTTACAGCGGTTCAGTTTTAATCACGGGTTTTAATTATTCTTAAACAGTCACGAGTATTTGATGGTATGCTCAGCCAATTTAACCAGTAAAGGCGTAGAAGCAAATTGCTTTACTAAGAAAAGCTGGGGTATTGTAGTCGAATACAAGTTACTGCAAGCATTACACGTAAAAATGTATACGTTAATGGACTCTGTACTTGAGGTACAGTGTCAAGTTAATGTAGACTTAAGACATAAGCAAGACCTATTTTTCAACTGGATGTACTCACGGTGAGATGGTCCAGATCATGCAGTCGCACGGTGAGCGTGAGGTCGGTAAGGCGCGTGCGCAGGGCGGGCGGGGGCGGCGGGGGCGCTGGGGACCATGCACACGCTGCCGGCGGGGACACTGCACCGCCGGGGAAACCACCTTCAAAACTGTAAACAACCAATTTCACCAGACAATGCCAATCAGAAAAAATGCTGTATAAAAACTTGAAAGCCGTTTAGGTTTTTAATTATTAATTCCTTTTTTTCTGTAATATATCAGTTTCAGTTTACTTACCAATCCCATTCATCACTGACATCTGTCATTATCTTAGGCTTCTTTGGCGGTTCGTCAAGTAGATCAGCTGATGATGTATCGCATCCTAAACGAATAGAAAAATATTAAGCCAATCCTATTTACAATAGCAGCAGTTAAAAAATATGAAAACACGAGTATATTGTTTAATTTGAATTAGTTCTGCAAATTCGTGTGCTATATGTATTTTTTTGTACCAAGATTTGCATAACTATAAAATTACCTATAAATCGACGAAGATCTATAGAGCATAGACGGATATTACATCATAGGAGGCATAAGATATTCATAATTACCTGGTGTGCTAGGCCGGCTAGAATCTACATCATAATCGGCTATAGCTATGATTCTCTCGTTACCCGCCAAATCTGTCTCCGCTTTAGTTTTCAAATGAACAGTCGATCCCGGTCCTAGACAACAAAAAAAGAACACTCAAGAGCTGACTAGTCAGTATGACTTTTGATTTTGGAAATGCAATTTTAGTCTTTATACATAATACTTGAGATTTTCAAAAGAAATCTTACGCTAACTAAGCCCACTTCACATTGCTGTCATTTTCATTTTTCAATTATCTTACCTATGTCATTGACCAGTAGAAGTCCACTCTCTCCAGTGACGATGGCAGTGACAACTGCAGTTCTGTCAGTACATGCTGCAGCTAAGTCCAGCAGTGCCCTGGCTCCAGCTGGTGTCACCGTGATATTCAGCATGTCTCTAGCTTCCACAGCTATGTAGGTGCAGGACTTGTCAATGTAGTTCTCTGTTTCAAGACCCGAGTCCACGCTGTCTTCACGGACGACTGGGTCCTGATGAAAAAATGATTAAATTTCATAATCAAGTTTAGAAGAGCTATGTGTACAATGACCAAATATGTTGGCTCGAGTTAAGTGAGACCACGACCTTTCAGACCACTGTGAACAACACTTGGGTTATGATTCGTGGTTTCTGGAGGCCCGATCCTTATATTAATAGTTCTCATTTCACTAACCTGCAACGTCACAGTCTTTGGTTCTGTCTCTTTCTTCCCTTTAGCTTCTCCATCTATGAATGTGACTGCTTTCTCGTTCTCTTCATGGTCACTGCCTACTTCTACTTCACTCTGTTCTGGCGCTGAAGAATCTTCGTCATTACTCATTTCTTCAGCACTTGAATCACTTGAAAAACATAGAAATTAGATAGACCTATTTTATCTGCATCAAAAGTAACTTAAATACTCGAAACATTTTTTTTTCTCAAATTCGAATACATATTATTTAAAGATAAAGATAAATTTATTTGTATAAACATGTGTGGGTAACATTATAGATATAGATGCAAATGCAGATGGTAAGGTGAAAGCTCCAATGTTTCAACATGTTTTGTCACAGTTGGCGTACAAAATAATAATAGAATTAAGTAATAAAAACTATTTAAGAGACAACTAAAGTTAAAAATATGAAACAATCAACTATAATAAGTTATCATTTAAAAAATCCTTGATTGGATAATAACAATGTTTAATAAGCAAATTTTTCAGTTCTCTTTTGAATAAATTATTGTTATTAATATTTTTTAAATTATGTGGGATTTTATTGTATATTATTGGTGCCTTACAAAACACACTTTTATGGACAAGTGCTGTTTTTAGAATGCTGTATTTATATTGTGATATTCAAGCTTTTTTGTTGTTACAGTCTACTAAATCAACTTACTCAGTGAACAAATGTCCTATAGCAGTAGCCAGTTTGTCCATTAGCCCACTCTCATTCTCCGAGTCAGATTCATCTCCATCTAGCAGCCCCAGGAAGGACATATGTCCAGCACTGAAGTCCACATTGTAATGCTTACTTTCCCTGCCATTGGGATTCTTTATAAACGTCATTTCATTATCAGTATCACCCTCGTCTGCTGAAGTTTCAGATTCGAATCCGTTCTTCTTTTTAGGTTTCTTCGATTGATCTGATGCGATTGAGGAGTCTACTTCTGTCTCTTGTTGACTTGAAGTATCAAGTCGCGAGGACATTGGGTAGGCTTTAGCCTGAAAATAATAAAAATAATGATAAAGTTCAGTGAAGTTAGGTATACACTTAATAAGCAAATATCAAAATTAGGTTCCTGTTCTTTAATCACACAAGAGAAAGTGAGACAAACCTGGAACAGAGTAGCCGTTATCTCCCAAGGACGGTAGACATTTTCGTTCTGCACAACAGGTTCTATAAGTGGCTCCCAGGCGTCAACACGCTCGTTGTAACAAGATGCTATCATGCTCAGAGAAGCTGTACCGTGGAGCTGTTGTGACCAGTCATGTATTGTCACCTCAGATTTCATCTACAAAAGGTGGACGTAAAATAGTGAGTGGAATTACACAAAAAGTTTAGTCTATTCCTTTTCTTATTAAAAGTTATCAAAGTAAATAAAAATATATGTCTATAGCCTGTTTGCTGAAACTAGCTTAGATGTATTTTTTTGTATATTCCAAATAAGCATTCTACGTAATTGCAAAACTTACCTTCATCATCAGTACAGGTACCCTGACAGTCTGCTCCATCTCAAACATAATCCTCACACAGGGTATGCTCATGATGAACGTCTCCGAAGGTCTAAGTGTCGGGTACTTCGGCTGTGTGTAAACATCCTCAGGGTTCAGCACAACGTAAGGAGTTAGCTTTTTCGGAGACCAAAGGTCTTCGTCCTGCTTCTCCGACTTCGGATTGTAAGTCGCAAAGTTAAAAGGTTCTTTTTCATCGGGTATTGTTAGCTCTGATGTTATTTCTTCGATTATGTCTGTAAATAGAAAGATGCAAGTTTTAGTTTCGAAAAACTCACAAAAATTATTAGTTTTTGTTTTTTGCTGTCTGAATTTGCACTGAATACTGAGCCGACCATAGCTGTAGATGTATTTATAGGCTCAAACACATACGCATTCTCGATAGAGATAGGTAGTTGGGTTTGTCCTGGATCATAAAATAATGAATCTTTACTTACCAAGAACAGTATGCACTGTAGTAGCTGCAACATGCACTTCGACCTCCGAAACTGACATCTTCACTCTTATACCTTCCTCAATATTCTTAAAAGCCTTTGAAAATTCTATGTCACATGGCTTCAAAACTATTTGTGGTGGTAGATTCTTTAGCTTAGATTGAAGTTTAGACATAATTTGGAGTCCAGCTAAAGAGACCACGAATGACTCGCTGTTAGAGTGAGAGGAGTAGTCGATAAGGAGTTCTGTCCGTAAAAGCAGTGCGTGTCCCTCAGTCTTCGTAAGGTCAGTGAAGAACATGATTTCTGGTTGGCGGAACTGTATCGATATTGATAGTCCTGGTTGTTCCTCTGACATTGATGTTGCTGGAAGACCAAAAATAGAATGATAACGAGAAACCAAGTTTTTGTTTAATTATTATGACCAAAATGCTATTACCAACCTGCTGAATAATAACCACTGGTGGAATCACTGGAGCTTGGCAGTCTCGCAGCTCGATTATTGTTGCCCGTCTTTGATGGGTGCACATCACCTACATAGCCATGATTTACCACACCACCTTCCATTGTCTTTTCACCTTGAGAAAAGAATAAAAACAAAGGTAATTATGAATGTTTTTTCCACCTCAGGGACAAATCTGAAATGAGGTGGTGAAACAGAGAACTAAACTTATCAATATGGGCAGTCAAAGGCCACTTTGAAAAAACAATCATTGTAAGGGGCAATAATCTTAATGTTTTTATCAATTAATTTCAAGTATCTTACCAGGCATAGCATCCAGCAAAGTTCTAGCTAGCTGCAGCAAGAACGGCAGTGCAAGATTGAACCTGGTGCGGTCCACTCTGACGTCAGCGTGCCGAGCTTTTGCTCCCGTTACTCGCAAGCTGGCATCTATCAGTGGAGGACGACGCACTGATATACAGGAATCTTCTGCATCAGCGTTCGTACCACCTTGTGATTGGAATATCCTGTGGATATCAATTTTGATTACAATAGGTTTGAACTGTACAAGTGCTTCCAGATTTCTAACAGTATTTTTGGTGCCAAGTAAAACCAAGCCAAACCTTAACTCACTGAGCCTGACTCGAAAGTTTTCTACTCACCTCTTAATAACAATTCCAGGATCTGGTCGAATGTCTTCAACTAACAGGCTCTGTAAACTAGCTTTGACCTCCAAGCTTCCATCAGAACTGTATTCCATCTGCAGCATCGCCTCGCCAGCTGTCAGCTTCGCTAGTCCATGGTTCAAGTCTCTAACTGGAGAACTTAGGACTTCATCCATATCTGAGAATAGCTTGAGTTCTATGCCCTCTAAACTAAATCTGAAAATGATAGAATCATTATTAGATTTATTATAATTCTAATCCGTTACATAACTAAGATTTTATTCGCTCTGTTATTTCTTACCTAACAACAGCTTCCTTTCTAATAGGTTCGCCTTGAGCGAAGAAAGCTTGCAACTTCTTGACTGATGAATCTGAAGGTGCTGTTTCTACTGGCGAACTTGGTACTATACATCCTGAAAACAACATCAAAAGATTTGTTTAGTAACTTTATTAATGGCTTTAGTAGTAAATCCAAGCAATCAATTTCATATCCCGTTGGTTTTATACTAGCTCCAAGCAGTTTAGGTATGCAAAATCCAGAATGTTTAATTGGAACCGCTATACCTCGGCAAGTATTTTTACGGTAAAGTAACAAATTAAATATTTGACAAAGATAATGTATAAAATACAGAACCAATGTAGTTCCCTTCGCTGAGATTATCGTTCCAGACAGCGAGCATGGTGGCTAGATCTTTCTGGCCAACGTTGAGGGTGACGGCGTCCAGCGCCACCGCTCCCTCTAGCGCTAGCAGCTCGCGCAGCGCGGCTAACCTCACCAGCTGCTGGTACGACACTGCGCGCTTCAGGTCGCATCGCAATGATACGGGCTCCAGGATCGGCTCCTGGTTGCAAATAATAGAATACATCGTTCTTTCATGCAATAACTCCATGGAAGTCCGTTGAATTTATTATTAACTTGAAGTTATCATTATGTCACATTCATCAAATCTAAATCACTTTGAAGTTAAGGGATATATTTAAAGTAACAACACATTTAAAAATGTTGTGTATGGCCTGCCGCAAGGCTTAATGCTCGGACCAACAAATTAAAAAGGTAATGAAAATGACTTCTAGTTCTTTACACCTGATAAAAATGTAGTAGATACCAACCTGTACTTCCAAAGTCCCCGCTAATGTCATAACAGCTCTGGAGAAGGTGATGTTAACTAGCTTAATGAGGATGTTGTCTATAACAGCATTCTGAATGGGACTTGTAGGTTCATTGCCAGTGTTTAATTGCTTGAAGAAATTTTCTATTAAAAGATCACCTGAAAATTTATCAAATTGAATATATGTATAGTAGTTGCAGAATAACAAGTGATATGTGTGATGTTTTTTGTGTTGTTGTGTTGCTTACCCATATTGAGCACTAACAAATTCGGTGAAGAAGGCTTCTGTGGCAGTAGAAGAACTGGAGCATGAATCTGGAATCATTTTTGCAGTAGAGGTAAATATGATTGACTTGCCCGATGTTTAATTGGTTAATAGATCAATATTTTTTTAGAATTACATAAATTATTGAATTAGATGAATTAGAATAATAGATGAGTTATGAGTTTGTTGTCGACATTTTAGGGATTGGGGATAAGAAAATTGCAGATTTAGGGAATGGGAAGGTGTTAAGGGAGGGAAAGGATTGGTTGTTTGGTAACCTCACTCGCACGGCGAAACACCACGCTGTGGTTGCTTCACACTGATGCTCTGTGAGGCCGTGGTATCACTTTGGTGGAACCGACCAATTCGTGGCGAAGCATGACTCTTCCACATTTACAACTAGAGTGATAAGTGGAGAAGTAATGGTGAGCATGGTAGAATGGGTGTGTACCTCAATGGCAAGGTTGAGTCGCGTGGCGGCGGAGCGCGCGGCGAGTGCGTGTCGCTCGGCAGCACGCTCGGCCGCGCTGGCTGCCTCCGCCGCCGCCGCCGGCACCAGCGGCTCCAGCAGTTGCTGATACACACAGTCACACAACATATCATAAAAGTAAGTCATAAAAGAACCACAATTTATATAATAGGCTGAGCTAGCAATGAGCCGGTCACGTTAATTAGAGAACCGATTTAATCGTTGGAAAAACAATGGTTCTAGCTAGAGTAAAGTCTTCCACCTACTTCAAACAAATAGAGCGTTTTTCAGTTGATAAACGTGAATAAGCCGTTATTTTCAATGAATTTAGCATTTCTCACGACAGCTACTATTAAAAAAAAAACTTCCACCATCTAACATAATACATAGTCTATCTCTAAGTAACAAGAGCCACGACATCCGCAAAGCTGTACGTGAAGAACTCAATGGTGTGCAAACGTTTAACTTTAGTAATATCGTTTGTTGCTTTCAGAGTAAGTCTGGCTGTATCACCTGTATATGATGCATGACGCAGCAGAAGAGTACGACATGCAGCCTGCCGACGTAGACGCGCAGCTCGCCGTGCGCCTTCATAGCCGGCTGGTCCATGCCGGAGCCCACTCCGTACACGCGCGCCGCCGCACGCACGTACTTTATCTCCAGAACTTTATCTTCGTCTGGCCACACCAACTACATGAAGTAAAAGTTGTCATTTTTTATGCAGTAGGATGCAAACGAGCAGACTGATCACTTGATGCTACATGGATAACACCAGCAATACCAAAGAAGCCACAGGCGCATATTGCCGGCCGTTAAAAAATAGTTTGAAGCTTCGAGAAAAAACACTGAACATTTTTTATATTTGCTGTTATTTCAATGTTTGTGTAAATAAATAATGTAATCGTAAGTTTTCTTAAACATTATAATAATTCAAATTTAAATGTACCTAAGCTTTGGATGCTTATTTGTAACGTTAATTGCCACCTATCATATGAAAGAAATAAATAATAATCTTCTGGAATTTTCCTTACCCGACAATTTAGAATACCGGTGCTGTAATATTAAAATTATGCAATTTTTTTAGACTGCGTTATCACCTTGGGGTATAACGTGGCCTCAGCTAGGTCATCAATATGCAACGAGCTGAGGTATAGCTTGAAGATCATGCGGTCATTGGCTCGGAACACGCAGTCACTCTCCAACGACCCCAGCCTCATCTCCAGGACTGCACTGTCCAGATGGCACAGCTTCATTGATATTGATGATGCCCTGGGAATATAAGAACACTTTAGAATAACTGTGAAAGGCTATAATTTTGGTGTTGACGAAGACCTTCTTATTTTCGACGAGCTTTGAAATCAACTAAACAATAAAAATGTTCACCGCACATTTTTTTTAAAGAGATAGTTCGGCAAACGAACATGCGTATTACCTGATGGTAAGCAATCGGCTACACCAAAGGAGTTACGAGCGAGTTTAGGTATAAGGGTTTCGGATATTTAAGGATTGGTATGGCATATACAATTATAAATTAGAAAAATAAGAATTTACCTGACAGAATAACTGAATTTGGTAGCACCTGGTGGTACAGGAGGATCTGCTTCAGGCTGCATCAGATAATCCCATAGTGACTTGGACTTCGGCAGAACTACATTCTTCAGATTGAGTGCGTGACGATTCTGGATTCTGGAATGACATACCAACAATTTTTACATCAGATTCTTAAGAGTAATCTCAATTTTCTTGTATTGTTTGTCCTTATATTGCAAGTTTTTATTAAATTTATTAAAAACAGCAGTTATTATACTCACTTTTCAGAAATGTACTGCAAATACTTGAGCAGTGTAGGCAAAGCATCTGCATGCAGCAGTAACGCCAGATGTCCTACATCTGCCACCAAAGCCTGCTCCACATTGTGGAAGTGGGAGCGGAACTCTGGGCAGTCAGCACGTACCTGCATCATTGTCGATTTTATAGATCTTACGAAATGTAATTTAATTGTAATTTTGTTCCAGTCACCAAAACCCCAAGCGAACGCCGGCTTTCGTGCACTTGTTATTCTTCTATCGTGTCTCTAATTACCATAATTAAAACGTTAAAGATCATCGTGTGCTCATTCTCTCGGAGATATTGTATGAAAACAGTAATCTGATCCAGTAAAAAAATATATATTTGATATTTGGAATCCAAGCTGCAACCCACCTTCCTATACAACAAATTAAAAAGCTCCCCAGAACTGGTGATCAGCTCCAAGTACTGTCCTGTACTGCTGTGATGTTGTTTATCAGTCAAGAGTACTTGACTGACAGACAGCTGGACAGCAGGCCCGTACTCCATCAGCGCTACGTCCAGGCAGACTTTCGTGATGCTCAGCATTACATATGGTTTCTCCAATTGGTCACACGATCGGGACAGGTTGATCACTATTTCGCCTGAAAAAGAGAAAAATTTAAAAATCTGTTAAAAACATCTGACTTGTGCAGATTCTTGAAAAAATTGGCCATTTTCATCATTGGCTATTTTTGACTCAATGTCAAAAACTAAGTGCAAATACGATATTTTCTAAAATACACATACATGTGTTTACATTTAAAATAACCTTAACCAACTCACCAACTATAAACCTCAGCAAAGTATTAATATTGTTACTAGGCGACACATTGTCATCGAACCCGGGAAGGTCCACAGTTCTTGCATATATCTCGATATCTTCATCACTGTGTTCTGATGCAGCAGACGCTTGCTGGGCTGCTTGGAAACCGAGCTTCGCTGTCGCCTTATCGTAAGTTGTTTCTGCTGCCCTGAAATGAATATTTACGTTTTATTTAATAAAAAATGTTGTCATCATTAGGGTATTTTCCTTGTCATGGGTGCGTTAACTAACATACAAAGAAAAGAGTCACTTAGAAGGTCCCTTTAACTCGGAAAGAATCTCTTTGATACGTACTAGCCACGTTTTGAAAATAAATGCCTTAGCCTCCTACCCCGGCAAATAAGTAAGCTATTACTTCATCAGCGTGGCACATTTATTAACACTCATAATACAAGTGCGTATTCTGGTCTTTTGGGGGTGGATAAAAGGGGGATGCGATTAGTTACTTATCACTATCACGGTCACGGTTTTCTCCTCAATGCATATTTACTAACTCTTTTTAAGTTTTGAACAAGCTAATGGTACACGCTTTGTGTGTCTTTATCACTTACTTGCTTCTACTCAGATAGGCAGCTACAATCTTCTGTCTCAAGTTCATGAGGTCCTTATAATCAGGGTCAGCGGTTACCCTGTCTATGCTCAACATTTCTGCCATCTCCGGTTCTTCCATCTCCTCCGTATAGTCTCCAGAGTCCATGAAGGAAACTGGAACGGTGTTGGGAACAGGAACTGGGAGGTTGTCGCAGAAGTCAAGTAGAAGACCTATGATCCGGTCTGATAGGTTCAGCTTGATACTTGATAGAGAAATATTTAGTTTGTACCTGGAAGAAAAATATTTAATTATTGCAAATTTATAATTTCAACAAAGTAATATTACTGACAGTGAGTAAAGAAGCAGTAAATAGAGAATTATAAACCTAAAAACGGGAGGATTTTTTTGCTTCTTTCTACACTACTTGAAGATTCTTTGACTTACTTCGGTAGTAATTTATAGTCCTTCTTAATACTATTCGAGAACACGACCTGCATCTTGATCTTAGGTACCAGGTGCAGCTCCGAGTCTGCGTGACGTCGGGACTCGCGCCAAGGTTCCGTCCACTCGCAGAATAACACCTGGGGGCAATAATTAATAATTATTAAAAGGCCCCACTAAAACCATTTTGGAAAGAAATAAAAATATGTAATTATATGGATGAAAAATTAACAGCATTTTAACACGTCCTCAAAGCTTCTCTCTTACCTGACAAGAGCATTCAGCGTGCAGTCTGTCATACAGTCTTTCCTCCAGCTCCATACAGGTTGCATCCTCGAGCGTCAAATTCGATGGTTGCAGATCTGACTTCACTATGATGCGACTTATATCCAAAATCATCACGCGACCGGACCTGTAATAATGTTTATGGTTAACAACAATATTACCTATAACCATATTTACATCACAAACCACAATGATATAATTATTAAGTTAAGCAAAACACGTACTTATGCACACATCCATGTTCCGGGACCACCACGCAGGGTCCTTTAATATCCACATTCAAATGGAACACCTTTCTCCGACTGATGGCATACGCCAACACAGACTTGCTAACGGCACCAGCCCTGAATACAGCTTCAGATACCTCTACTGCCAACTCATCGGCAGTCATCGAGTGCGTTTGGAAGAAGTTGATCAGCTCCGTGAACGAATGCTGTAAGAATAAAGCAACTTCTTAATAGTGCTTCTTACAATAAGGATTTTTCCTATGTCGTAAGAGAGTTAGTAGACAGGCACAAAAATCACACAATTTGAAAGAATATGTTGTAGATCGTCATGGTCATGATTAGACGCATGAATGATCACTGACTAAAGGCAACCCTTGAGTAGGTGTTTGTAAAACACATAATCAGTAATGACGGCGGTATGACATGGCATGCAGATGATCGCTTAATTCCCCCGCTAACCGCACAAAATGATGATGATAACGATGATTGTTTTTAGGGAACCTATTCACCCAAAATACAATATTACCTCAATGTAAACCAACTCCACTGGTTCCATGAGGCAGCACAGTCCATAATCGGCTTCGTTACTACAAGGATTCTTCTCCAAATCGATAGCCAACAGATTGGAGCTGGTAACTCCTGACCCTCGCTCTGGAGTCAGAAGTGGAACCAGGTCACCATCAGATGTTACTCCTTCAACCACTATACTTTCTGCTCGAGCTGAAAGCTGTAGCAAATATTATAATTAAGACAATAATAGAAAATATGGTTTAAAAGTCATTACAAATTATAAGGTTGAGGAGCCCACAGCCGACAAAGTAGCCAACGTAATGTGTAAATGTTTAATAGTCCGGAAATAGAATACAGAAAGACACAAGAATTTGAAAAAAATATCTACTAACGAATACACAATCACACATAAAGCTAAGACCAAATTTGAAATCATAATCATAACAAAAATCTAATCTTCCAGTCTTCAACTTGATGTCTTCGTGGGACCACAGTCTTCTTAAGACGACAGTGCTACATGGCAAGCTATCGAAATGTTACATTTGGTCCACAAATGTACCATTTCGAAGGCCCGCCCGGAGCTGATGGATGTATATCTTCTGTTGCACCTTATCGAAGACAATTGTGATAAAATTCTGTAAATATTTTATTTTGATGCCTTACAAACAGAACACTCAAACATTTTATTTTATTTCATTACCTTGTATGCTTTAGCCGAAGGTCTGGTCTCCAGAGACGCAAGGAACTGAGTGAGAGTTAGCACTAGCACCTCTTTATTCCTGTTCATCAGCGTCAGTGAACAGTTGGCTAACGTCAGGTTTATTTTGTGTTCTAAAAAGTTTCAGAAATGTTGAATCCACTATCCTAAATCATGTTCCACAAACACATTCATTATTTTTTCTTACCAATGTACTGTTTCGATTTGTCCTTTTGTGGTGCCCCCTCCACGTACCCTATCAGTTCACACACCCTCTTCTTTTCAGGACTAGAGAGATGACTCCACAGACTCTTACTTCTCTCAGTTTTCACGCAGAGTTCCACGTGATTCTTCAAACCTTCCACTTCATCCGTTGGAGAACTAGATGGTTTCCACCAGTCGAATTCTGTCTCGACTACTTCTATGCGGTCAGGTTCTTGGGCGAGCAACTGGAATGAAAGTGGCATTGAAAAAATACTATCTTATAGATACGAGTTTAATGGAATATCTTCCATAACAATTCTTACTTCAAACTTCGCTTGCTCCCTAGCAATAATAACTGACACAATCGGTAGACTGTCCTCACACTTCTGCAAGTCCAATTTCAGTTCAATATCATTAGGGCTTCTCAAAGTGCTCTTGTATATTTGTTTATAAATGTTATAGTTCTCTCTATGCTTCTTTATGGCTGCCCAGGTGTATGGCCGAACTCTCTGTTCCACTACTACATTGTAAGCATATTTCCACCACTTCTTGATATCCTTGGAAAGAGGAACACCCGGGTGAAGATGACGGTATTTTCTGAAATGTATTTTTAAATCGATTAGTTTTATTTTTAATTAGAAGAAACTTAATTAAGATTTCAAACTAACATGCATCACGAACAAAGTTGTAAAATCAGAAAACATGCTAACACAGTTTATTGTACAGATTACTTGGAACTACGTATAAACTTGTAGAGTTCGTTTTTGATAGGGAACTTGATAAATTTTGCCCAGAATTTTCTTTATATTATGCACTTATTACTTAAAGTATGCATTCTTACCTGTTCAGCTTAATCCTGTCAAAAGAAGCTAGGAGGTTGTTTATCGACAGGTATTGTCGCCGAGATAGCTGCAGGGCACTATCCTGCAGCACCGCATCCAGTAACAGACGAGGAACTCGTGCTTCCCCAGAACGGTTAATCAGAACTTTTACTTTGCATGTCACAGGTTTCAATACTGGAAAGTAAAATTTTTCATTTCAAACTTTTTAAATTTCAAAATAAACAGATCTTGAAAACGACGAAATGAATGAAACAGAGCATTGTTTACGAAGTGATTTGTTTTATATTCCCTTACAAAATTCGAAATCCTCATGATGCATGGAGAACTTGTCCAGTCCTGTGAGCATGTAGTGCTTCCAATTGTAGTACTGCATGGGAGTGATGTGGGCAGTCTCGTTGTCATCCAAGGCCGTCGCCGTGGGATTCCAGTATGCTGACATGGATTCTATGCGCATCATCTGGTACACCGTGGACGCGTTCGCCGGAGTCACTGATGGCTTCCATTTGCTGAAAGACAAATAATTTGTATTTATCGAGCATTGATTGGTTGACATTGGTGATCACAAAATCCAATCAGCTAAAACATATGTGAAATGAAATATTTTTGATTCTAATAACCAGTAACAGGTTAAACATTGAAAAACTGATGAAATTACCGACTCACCTATTAGTAGTCTCAATAGATAAGCTCTGGAGACATAAACCACAGGCAAGAGGTCCATCTTTGGAGCTGATGGAGTCCTCATACCGTATGTGGACATTCCTCACATAAATCTGAAGATTATTCACGATAGCCGTGAATAAGTGTTCGAAGAAATTCTGGGGACCCTTAAGGACTTCACTTTCGGCTTCCAAGTCTTGAAGAATCTTTCGTTTGGCTGCTCTGGTTAGTCGTCTTTCTCTTTCTGGGTCGAAGTAACTGTTGGATATGGCTGGGCCAACTAGCACTAGCACATCTTCGATGTTGACGACCACAGGCTGTGTGTAAAGACCTGACCATGGTATCTGAAGGGCGATGCGGCCGATTGTACCGATCTTCACATCTATTGGTAGGTCAAGTTCGTACTGCAATGGATAAAAATGTTTAACAGACCGACACACATGATGCGAAATATGATTTCATACCAAAATGTAAATTGGCTTTCTTACCAAAGCCTCAGGCTTGAGCTTCAAGTCAGTGAGATTGACATTCCCGGAGAAGATGCCCACGTTGAGGTTCTCCGTGTCCAAGTCCTGAACGTACTTGCCCAGCAGCCGGTTCAGGATCCCGGCGACCGCGCCCTCGAACATGGTGACGGTGGCTGATGATCAGCTGGACATGAGAAGGAAAGTTAAAGAGTATGATAGAAAAAAAGACGAGCTGATACGAGTAGAATTTTGGTAAGTATTATAATCAAAAATTAGCTTTAATTCAGTTTTGAAGTCGACACTGTCAAGAATAGAAGAATAATGCCAACATAAATCTTTATAAAAATCTTCTTCTCATAATTAAGGAAAGTAACACGGATAATCTTCGCCTTAACTTGGACGGAATAAATCAGAACAGCTACATCTAAGTGAAATAGATCAGTGTAAGTGTGAGTGACGTGGTATTTACAGATTGGCCTTTACTTGGTGATATATTATGCATGGCGCCAGCTGCCCTCTTTCCCGCGACTTGCAACGAAAACAATTTAATATTCGGAATCGATGCGCCACTCTATTTTAAGAACGTTGCGCTGTCTACTGCTAATGTTGGCACTCCTTGCCATGTTCCTTTGATAGTAAGTTATGTTACTTTAAAATTCTAAGAGATTCAATGTTGTCAGGTAAAAGTGAAACCCTCGTTTGTTCGTTTTTTAAATTTATCTAATTTACAAATGTATAATAATATGTACTCATGTGTAATTGATAAGTGATTTAAAAGTATTTATTGAAAATTAAATGTGAAGTTGATATAAAAAATTGGAAGTAATTAACTGTCGAAAAGATTAAGATGAGGAAAAAGGAACAGAAATAATGACATGTTTAAAATAGTATTTTATAAATCAACGATAAAATAATTAATGATAACAGATAAGCATCCGATTCCACATCATAATTACGATTTACAAGTTGTCGTAAATAATATTTTGTATTTTTTTTATCTTAAGTATAATCTCACGACCATATAATATAATATAATAATACCATATATGTATACTATATTGTACATAGTTTACATAGTATGGTACATAGTTTATATGGTACTAGTTACGTATATAATATACTTAGTTCCATAAGAATGGAGGATAAGATACACCCATCTTAATTAGATAGGACATATGCACATACATAGGATTACATAGATAGGCCTTGCAAATTTTACCCTTACGCATTAGTATCGCGACATCTCGCCATGATTCTTAAATCTCAAGAAAACAGAATTTTATCAAGCACTATTATTTTGTACCTATACATTATTTATAAACGAGAAGATTCATCAGAGAGACAGTATTTTAATTACAAACGCGGACTTACATACATATATGTAACTATTAATGTTTTGAAAAGGCACTTGAATAGCGATCGGGAAAATTGAGTAAGTATGTAGTTTAAAAGTTCATATTATGAGAAACCTCGCAGGTACAATGTGACTTTTTCCGATTTATATGTACTTTCTATCATTAGACATCGCTGACAAACGGTGAGAAAACCTAGACTTGTAATTTCTAATTAAGTTTGAATTCACTAATCCGCCTTGAGCAAGCGTGGTGATTAATGCTCAAACCTTCTCCACGTGGGGTAGGCCTTTCTAGTCTCGAATTAGTCTATGTGTATCTTTGATAAGTAATTGTTGTTAGTGAAAGATAATGAATAGATTTGACATCTGATACGCCTTTGAATTATTATTGAATCATAGTGAATCGGATTGTAGAAACTATAAGAGCTCGTGGTAATTAGCGTCAATCAACAGGCTGATCAGGATAGGTACGTGTTTATAAATTTCTAGTAAGAAGGTTCAATATAATTAGGTACTTATATTTCTTTTAAGTGTGCGTGTTGCCGGTCTTCTGTAGTTTAAGGATTGGAGGATATAGGGATGTTTTTAATTACCTAAATGGTAAATGGCTAAATCGTCGTTACGCTACTAAATTAAACTTTCGTATAGTTGTTTCATGTCATTAATTGATAAATATGTTCATAAAATCAAGCTTACTTTAAGCAAATGGTTGGTTTCATAAGCAGAAAGGTGGTACATTCTGTTTGGATGTGTAATATATCACAATATAAGAAATTCTTTATTTATTATTGCTTGCTTGCACAGCAAGACCATTTTAATCTTATTCCACAGATACTAAGCGCGGGAAATAACCGATAAACAACACGAAAATAAACAAATTTAAGGTGAATAACATTGATTGTATAAAATAAACAACACGGGAATTTCCGAAAACATTTTACATCAGATCCTAAATTAAAAACAAAGTAGGTATGCTTAATTAATTTACCACATAGATCCGTTTGTGAAGCGTCTTGTCACAAAGAGGGCAGCCTAACGATTCGCGTATTACCAACAATAACAAAATCAATATCACCGATTGGCCACGAAATCGTAAACAACTCGGACACGCTCCGACACTCGACGTACCAATATTAATTCAGTATCGAGTCTTATCGAGAGATAACATTATCTCCTGATATCGATATATCGAATGACGTTTCTAAAACAATGCAAGTACACGCAGATATAGGTTAAATATCTCATTACGCTGATAACTGATGTTGTGTCTCCTTTATTAATAGTTTTTGTGAGAAAATATGTTGTAACACGCAATATTTTTCCTAGTGTCTACTTTGTTTTGTTTATAATAAGAAGTTACCGAGTAACGTCAAGGAACGATCATTTACAAAATTTGAAAAGCATTCTGATCACGTGTTACTTATTGTTCAGTAGGTACAAGATTTCTTGATTTATTTTTTTATGTTATAGGTCGGCAAACGAGAATGGATTTTGTGGTGTAATGACAATGGATTACCTGATGGTAAGCAATCAGCGTCGCCCATGGACTCCCGTAACGACGGGGGAGTTACGAGTGCGTTGACGAACTTTTGGGGATTAGGGATTTGGAGATTTTTGGAAAGGGAACGGATTGGGGTAGGGGATTGATTGGGCCTACGGTAACCTCACTCACACGGCGAAACACAACTCTTTGGTTATTTCACGCCGGTTTTCTGTGGGGCCGTGGTATCACTCCGGTGGAGCCAACCCATTCGTGCCAAAGCATGGCTGTCCCACACTTGAATACTAAAGTGTGTATGAAAATCGCATTTTATTGTTAATATGACCGTAAATATGCTTTAAGTATCAAAAGAAAATATTTCTCTTTGTCAGGAGAAGGAGCAGGAGCAGAGCGTTTTCAGTCAGTAATATCCTGACACTCCGTCTCATCATATCCTGAGCGAGAGAAGTCATTTGATAATTTTCCATCCTCATGTTTCCAAAGGATGTTTTCGATCATCTTAATCTTAAATACATTAATTACATTACAGATTTTGAACACGTACCCGTAATAGGGAATGATATTGTTGAAGAGTAATTTTAAGCTGTTTATGAAATTGATATTTAAGCCATTTTATACTTTGTGCATTACATTTCCCGCTTCCATCGTCAATCCCCAAATTCACAATCCTCAGATTCCTACTAACTCACGAAAGACCATCAGCGGACTTGTTTTTCCTTTAGTTACGGGGGTTCATGGGCGGTGCCAGCAGAAATAAACTGTAAACTGAACTAGCCACATCACATATCAATGATTAAGAAAAATGTTCGAACATTAACCACAGCGCTTGCTTAAGGCGGATAAGCGATTGCATACTTATAATGAGAAATTCTATTATTATTAGAAATTAAGTCCCGGTTCCAACACTATATTTTTCTTCACCGTATGTCAAAGGTGTCAAAATAATCTTAGAACTTAGCCTCCAGGCCCCCACGACGTTCAACTAGTCATTCTATTTTTATTATTAACCTGAAACTCAAAATCAGAATATAATTTACTAGCTACTCTCACGCGGTTTCACCCGCTGGTCCATTTGAACGTAGCGTGATGTTTTATATAGCGTATATCACTCAGGAATATTGTAGCTATCTATCAGTGGAAGAATTTTGGAAATCCGATCAGCGGTTCTAAAGATTAGGTATTCCCTACATACAAACTTACAAATTTTACTCTTTATAATATTAGTATAGATTGGCGGCTCCGGCGTATTATAGTTTCATAGTTCCGAGTCACATTGTACCTAATCGTTTAATTTCTTTAACCAACTAGTATTGATCCGACATAAGTGGACTTATGAATTAGATTATTCCTTCATATAAACGCATATTCAGAGTTAAACCGAATAAATTAAATTTGCCTTGAAAGCCTCCCGAGTCTAGCTATTAGATCAATAACAATTAACCTGGTTTTCATTCCCAGGTTGAGATGTTTTATTGAGTTTAAAGTTTGAAACTGTATATTAACTGCTTAATATTCTTGTGAAACATCTCTCAAATATGCCCCTCATTGTATTCAGGTTTGCAAGGAGCAAGAGCGTCGCAGAGGAAAAACGTCGTGGTGGCCCGAAGGTAGCAGAAGTAGAAGGTAGGTAGGTACGTAGAAGCAGGGAGGAAGCAGGAAGGAAGAAGCGGGGAGTTCAAAATCTGGCAAATACCAAAGTGCCTTTTTCTGACTTATATGTACTTTCTAACATTATTTAGACACCTAGCTACGGTGAAGGAAAACATCGTGAGGAAACCGGGACTTATAATATCTAATTATAAGTTTGAAATCGCCAATCCGCCTCGAGCAAACGTGGTAATTAATGCTCAAACCTTCTTGTGTGAGAAGAGGCCTTTACTCAGCAGTGGGAACTTATATGCTGATGATATAGTGTGATGGGTGCACGAGCAATGATTCACCGCAGCTCGGCTCTGAACAGGAGAATGTACTGGGTTTTAGTCAGTAAGAGTCGGTAAGATACTCCCTTTCGCCCTCGGGTAGCCGGGAAAAAATATTGTACTACTTTTACGTCTCGAAAAAAGAAACCTTCACTATTTTAATCAAACATTCGGGTATTATCTTAATAGTTTCTGTCGGGAATAGTTAAAGTGCACAGACATCAAACTATTTATAGAAACGAAATCAGGCTGATGATGATGAAGATGATGATGGACAAACAAGTCCATGGTCCATGGACACCTGTGTCGGCAGAAAACTCACAAGCGTGCTGCCAGCCTTTTAGGGGCAAGATAATTGAGATTGGAGATTGTAAACTGCTTCTGTATAACGCTTCTTAGGATTAAAGACATGATGTTATTCTGAAGTGGACATCAAGGGTAAAAATAACATACCAAACTAAGCTTTGAAGGCTCTTGAATTCATTCGCATGTGCTAATCCAATTGTCCAGGAGATACGTTAAGGCGTAGAGGTGTTTTGCTTGAATGGCTAATACTTGATCGGATTGTAAGGGTCTACAGAATATGAGCATCCAAAATATCTTCTTAAGTTTCGCCTACGCAGATTGATGCCTGACTGACTGCGTTTTACCGTGTCCTTTAAGAAATACGGGTGTCTTTTTCAAGCTCGGATATTGGCACTGAAGCAGCTATTAATAGGCAAACATCACAAACTCTCTCACATTATTATTTTTTATATTGTCTGGACTTGAAAGGAGACGGTTCTCTAAGTTTGTTTTGGCATTTCTTCGCCGAGTAGTCAGATTGGAAATTCCGGCTTATTCTGCCCTATCTAGTTTTTGACATATTATTTGACTTGTAAAAGTGCCTTTTCATGGCCTATTTGCAAAAATAAATTCATTGTTTCATTGTAAGTCTTGCCTAGGCCATCCATTAGTGAAAGAATTTTGGAAATCAGACCAGCAACAGCTTCTGTATTTCTTGGTCTGATGCAGAGAGAGATAAATGTTATGCTAAAAAAACACTTTAGTTACACACGTGACATTTCCCTTCAATAAACATATGCATGTTAGGTATTATTCAGTATTAGTTAAAATCCGGTAGTCCCAACAAATCAAATTCAATACTTTTATCCAAATGTCAAAAACGATGAAATTTATATGAAATACTGAGTTATGACGTCATCGTTCTTCGTTCGTCGTTTTTTTGCGTCAAATAGCGTACTTATTTCTTAAAAATTCGCTAAAATATATCTAAAATTTAGTATCGATCGATCGATGAATAAAAGCATACTTAGGTAGTTATTTTTCAATATTTCATTGTATTGAAACGTCGAATTAATTTATTTTTGACCTAGGAAACTACCCAATTCTATGTATAAATTTCAAATTCATATTTTCCCTTCGAGATTCTTGTGTGAGTCACCCCGAATGGAATTTTAATACGAGTAATAAAATCCTTAGTGGGTTTTATCGTAATCCAAGTGACCTTGTGGCTACTATATTAGCCTCAGATGCCAGCATGGGTCCTTCAGTACGCGTCTTGCATACTTGACTAGACAACTACTTTATCTTACTTGACTTTAGAGGTATATCCTTGCTTCGATTGAATTCTGATCCCATTGAGCAGAGGTTTTAGAAGCAATCAGTTTACTAAAGTTCGTAAGAACTAGAAGATTTCATTTAAAACTCTTTATTTTAATTAAGAAAGAGAGCTTTCTATTTTCGTGTTATCCTGTCAGATTTTTTAACGGAAAAACAGTAGACGGATCTCCTGATGGTAAGCGATAAGCGCCATCTGACTTTCCGGAGAAGACATAGGCGCTATATCTAATACTAGCTATTCCCACGCTGTTTCACCCGCTGCTTGGCTCTTACAGATCGTAACGTGATGTTTTATAGCCTAAAGCCTTCCTAAATAATTGGTCTATTAAACACTAAAACATTTTTTCAATTCAAAATTCGCAGTTCCTGACATTAGCTCTTTCAAACAAATAAACAAACTCTTCAGCTTTTATAATAAAGAATAGATAATATGTAGTTTACCTGAATTTGGGATTTTTTTCTCAAGTTTTATAGGTACTTATAATGCCGGCAATATGTATTAAATGCCCATCTACAATATACATACATACATACAAGTGAAATGACCTGAAAACGAAAAACTACATAAAAACCAACGTTTTAATAGGGACATCAGGTAAAATCACATAAGTATAACCGAATCCTACTAAAAGATTCAAGGAACCCTCTTAGAAAGGAACAGGAAATCTTACTATTTGTGTAGCTTGCAACTGTTTTCCTTGAGTCGTATGTAAACTGGAGCCGTCCCTGTCTCCATAATAGCTGTGTCGACATAATGAGGACAAATCTGAATAGAAACTTACAAATGGATATACGTATAAGTGTCCATGTTTATTATGTTAAAGAAGATTACTCTCCTTTTTTTAATTTAATTCAGTTCTTATATTGTAATGTTCTATTTCTTAATCTGGTCCAGTGATTGGTACGGAAAATAGAGATCACTGGAAAGTTCTCCACAAGTTAAAAAAATGGTAAGTCTACAGGTTTTTGATATGCTCTTGTTGAATTTCCTTTTTGTCACGTAGGTATGTGCGGTGCTCGCGGTGAGATCTTGAAAAAATGGCGGCTCATAACAGTTTCAGTGCCAGATAAAAC